CCCATGATCAAGTTAGGGCTTGATTCAACTTTCACCAAACAATAAAGTAGCTTTATATTACTACATATTCAAGATTAATAAGCCTAAATCAAACCTTTAGAGTCAATAGAAACCTTCAAAACATAGACTCATAACTTAATCTATTCAGAGAAAATTCTCCTACTTTCAAATCCCATGAAAATTGAGATAAAAAGGTAGAGGAGAAGCGTAGGAAACTTACTCAAGAGTTTGAAGGCCTAATTTATCTTCAAAATTCTCCTAAAATGATGCCCTAACAGTGCCCAAAGCTGTCTCCTTCACGTTCTAGGTTTCCTACCATAAAACAGTCATTTTCTGATGATTTTTAAAAAATTTAAGTTGTCTGCTGTGCCATGCACCACAGCACACGTCACAAGCATTGCGACTCATAATGCAGAGAGCCAATTGTGCTTCCCCCAATACCACCCGACTTGATTAGACTTCCATCCTAACTCAATTTAGAGCCAAATATGACCCAAAAAGTTAATAAGCAACTTTAAAACATATTTAAATTAATTAATCATATTTTTACCTAATTTATCACTTAATTAGTCAATTTTTTCAAATTTGAAGTTTTCGGATGTTACAGAGAAATATATCCTAAAATACAAGCAAACCAAACCTTTCATTCACCAATCTGTTGAGGAAACAATTGTTGAAGAACCTGAGGACTAAGGACCTAAAGATCAACCCCAGTAAAGTCAAGTTCCTCTACCTCTGAAAGGTCAAATTAAAGTCCTAAGTTGCCTTAAGATTCTCCTCGAGCTACTAATGGCTCAGCTACTACATTGCATCTCATTCCACCTATGGATCTAAATAACTCTTCCATATAGGCAATAGTTCTACGTACTCTAGCTTTTAATCTAGAATCTCTATATGATAGAGAAATTTTTGAAACCTATCTCAGATATCCTATTTCCTCCCTCTTGGGAAGGCCTATATCATTTTGATGCTACCTAAGAGGGAGAACATGTTGTAGAGAGATAAGCTAGACTTAAGGGGGATTTGTAGGACATAGCCTTAAGAAGAAATCTTTTGTAAAGGTTTTGTATCTTTCATTGATAAACTATTATGCTATGACTTGTACTATATCTTTTATCAATGAAATATTCCATGTTTATCATTCACTCTACATTCTTAATTCTAATACTCCTATATCTGAATAAGGGGGAGCTTTGTATTAAGCAGAACTAAGATCCTTGATCTTAAGTCAAGGTTTGTAGCAAGGTTTGTTGGTTAATTCAAGACAATTGTGAATTGTATTGTGGTGACAAGGACTTATGGAAGCTTGTACATTTAGTTGAAAATCTTAAGTGTCACCTTGAGGACTAAATGTAGGCCAAGTTTGGGGCTGAACCAGTATAAATTTCATGTATCTCATCTTCTTCCTTCTTGCAAAAGTTTTTTACTCTTCAAGCTTTTAAAAAATCTTTAAGTGTCACCCAATTCACCCCCTCTTGAGTGCCAACCTATCCTACAGACCTTGGTTACTGAATGATTGTACTCACCCCTCATTATTAAACATTTTAGGGTCTAGCTTATCAGATCAAGATAGTGAAAAACAATTGGAGGTATAGGAATTTAGTAAACCCTACTTGTAGGCCTCTTAGTTTTAAATTATGTGTATTAAACATGGTTAATTTGCCAACTAGGATTTCAATCCATTATTTTGTCTACTTGCATTATAGCTGAAAGTGTTTTCTGTATTTTGTGCTCTGAGTTAGTGGTAATGTGGTTGCAAAGCATGTATAAGGCTAAAATACTAGTGCAAGTAGAATAAGTGTATTTTGGTTTTTTTTTTTTGAATGAATATTGATGATTTTATGCAAAATTACCTCCCCCTTGTGTTTTTATGAATTAAGGGGTTGATGGTTGAATTTATGATATGTGTGTTGATTGGGTTGTGGTGTGTTGCACAAATCTTAAATGATCTATTAAATGTGGTCTAAGGGTTGGTGTAGGCTTTTGGAACATGTATGGGAGTTTGAGCACCTTAGTTGTGAGTTTTTGTGAAAATCAAAAAGGGTGTCCATCTTTTGATAATAAAAAAATAACTTGGTTGTGAAACTTGTGCTATTAGCTAGAGCTAGAAGAAAGCTCTTTGTAAACACCAATTTCACCTCAATTAGATGTCAGACAAAGAAATGAGATGCATCAAAAATTCATCCTAGGTGTTGTCATCTGACAGGAAAACTTGTTGCCAAAATCGTGCAATGCACCGCAGCACATGGCACAGAGGTAACACACTGCAATGTAGGAGCGTTAAGGCGGGATACATGTGCTGTTTTCTGCATAATTCACTATTTTGAAGTTTATTTTCAAATGTTTGGAATTTTTCTTTGATTCCTATACTTCTGCACATTTCAAACTCTGAATTGGAATATTGAATGTGTATAGGAGAATTTTAAATATTGAAAACTTGGGATTCTATTTGTATATTACACATATTTGTTTCATTACATTCTTGTTTTGGAGATTGGGAAGGATTAGCAAGGGTAACCTTACTCGTCTAACTCAAAATTTACAGTATTAATCACATTCTTCTTAATTACACCTTTTCAAGAGCAATCTAGTTTGCATCAAAAATCTCCTTCATGTGTTAAAGACTTCATCTAGCATTGGATTCACTCAGCCTTTGTTGATGAGATTTTGATATTTGTTGCCAAATTTATTCTTGTTGATTTGCAAGTTATTTGGGATAGTAGAAACAAAATCAAGCATTAGCAAATCTCATTAACTCCTATACAGGTTATTCATAAAGCTAAATGGATTTTGAATGCAGTTGCTTTAGTGGTTATGAAACTAAAGAAGGCCATTCAAGTCAAAGGGAAAAAATTGACTTTATAGAAGCAAAAAGAGAGAGAGATGGTTCATCTTTATTAGAGTTGGTAATTTAGACCAACCCAAATAAGCCTAAAAAATCTTTGGATTAGGTTTGAGGGTTTACAAAATTTTCTTTACTTCGAACTTATTCAAGCCACCCGAATAAGCCTGAAGAAACCCTGGCCAAGCTTAAATCTAAATAGGCTTAGCCCGAATACCCAAACTTATTTTTATTGTTAATAAAATAAAATTGAAATTGAAAATATTACTTTATTAAGATGAAAATTGAAATTTGCTAAAAAAGAAAAAAAATAAATTTAATAATTTAGGTATTTGAGCAAGCATGAAAGCCCAAGATGTTAGGACAAGCTTAGCTATATGAGCTTTTTTATATGTTTAGGGTATTTTAAGCCTAGCCTGCTTGAATTGCTAGCTTTACTCATCTTTAATTTTGAAAATGTCAAGGAAGGAAGATATGCAAATTACATTTTATCAAGAGTCATGATCTTCCATAATTCAATTTGCACAAATAAGATAACATCATCTGATAAAAATAGTCCTACAATGCACATCTTATTAGAAAGCTAGCCCTCATAATTTTATAAGATGGATCTCTAATCATGAATTCAATCCTCCAAGGAATTTTAATCTCACTTTAGGTTTTATTCACCCTAAGCTAGAAATAGTTTTTCTTGAGAAAGCAAGAAATCATGAAAAATTTAGTCTTCATTTATGATATTGAACAGCCACTGCTTTATTCCAAGTTCAACTGAATAGATATTCTGCCTAGGACAGAACTCAGAGCTAGAATTCATCTTTTCAACATTTTAATTCTCCTAGTTTATTTGACTTTGTCAAATTGTCTTGATCTTTATGTATTAGTAGAAAATGAATTCTAAAAAAAAGAAAGGACCAACTAAAAAACACAACAAATCATATTGTAACATGGTATAAGATGTTGTTGATAGTTGGTATCTTTATAGTTATAGCCCCATACCATTTTTAGGGAACATTGCCATAAAATGCTTGACCACAAATGATATTGCCCTAAAGTCCTTGAACCAAGGTCCTACAGTGGAATTAAATGGGACAACCAAAAGACTAAAATGTCCATGATGTGAAACATTTAAAGAGTTAAATGACTAAATTACCCTCACTAGATTCTCTCCCTCCCTCTCCTTACTAGCTCCTATGCTCTAGCAGCGACTTTGACATAGACATCATTGTGGCTAGCAGCTTCATGATTCCACTAGTAACAGCAAGTGTCTGTGATTTTGACAACGATGGTGACAATAGTGAGGTCTTGGTTTTGAAAATTGTGAAAGAATGAGTGAAGAATGATGAGCTTCTATCTTGGTTTGAACCCTAGCTCCATGTCCCTACCTCAATCTTCATCGTACAACCAAGCTCACAATCTCAATGCTTTGAACAACCATCTACTAGCTTTGATTGAGAGCAGGTCGTGGTGAGTATTCCCACCTATCATGCAAGCAACTCGGGTTTGATCCTTGGCAACAACACCATTTTGAAATGCATAAATGCATTTGTCGTATATGCATCAAAAATTCTAAGTAAACAATAATGTAGTTAGTAGTCACCTAAGTTGAATCCCTAATGAGTTAGGTTAAAAAATGATTAAAATTGATTTTTTAGTTTACAAATAGTACCAAAAGAGTTTATCTTAATTACCTAGTTCAAATAAATAAAACCTACCTAGTATTTATGAATTTTCAATTTTTAATGAAAACAATCAAGTGAATAAGTGGTTTAGAAATAGATGAGAGGTTTCTCAGATATTTGTAAAATGCTATCCTTGTCAAAATGATTGGGATGAATTAAATTTCACTTTCAATAGTCAAAAGTTCATTTAAGGTGAGTAAAAAACAATTAACCCAAATGCAAATCAATTCCTATACTTCTGGTTAATTAATTTGGCACCTAAGTAAAGTTAAATGCACTACCAAAAAGTGTAAGTTTGATTAATTGGAGATGGTGACAGCCCAAAACAGTAGCCTTTCAATTTCTAAACATAGTCTAAAACATGAATTTATTCTATCTAATGGCATACAAGGTGACCACACAAAGTACAACCAAGAGAATAGTCAAAATCAAGGTAAGTTAATAATTTCACCATGAATTTCTGAAACTCCAGCAAAATAGTTCCAAGTCCAACAATCAAATTATAAGTTTAATTATCTCAAATGAATATCCAATAGGTCATATACATCACTATAACTCCAAATTAACAATTAAATTAAAACTAAGCAATGTTGAAATAGAAAAACTAAGGTAGAACGAACTCCTCTCCTCTGAAGACCCCAGGACACATGCTCCTTGGAACTGAGAAAGTCTAACCACAAAACTCCATATCCAAGCCTCTAATTTGCTCTTCAAAAGTCTTGGACATTGCTCACTCGCAGATGAAGAATCACACAACCGAAAAGGAAGCGAACTGAAGAATTGAAGATAATGTTTTGTAGAGAAAGATGAGAGGATGAATTTGTACGGATTGGATTTTTGATTCAGTCCAGAAATTGCGAGAAGATGAGGAAAGTGAGTGACGACGGTGGCTGGTTCTAGAGAAAGAATGAAAAAACAGGATTGATAGACAAGAGACAAAGAAAACGAGGCGGCGAAGTCGAAGTGAATGCTGTGTGCCCCAAATCTGATTGCGTGTGAGAGTGAATTGAATGAATGGAGAGCTTGTGACTTAAGAGAAGAGGCGGTGATTGAAAAAATAAATAAAGAAACTAATCAGATGGACATGTGAGGTGGAATCAAAGCCAGTTGAAATTATGGTCCGTGGGAGTGAAATTAAATGGAAAACACGTGAGCTTTATTTGATTTTTGGAGGGAAATTTTATTATTTTCAAATCTGGAAAATTAAGAACAATGGTGATAATTCCAAAGTGGATGGAATGGAAAATGCCATGCTCAAAAATAAAAGAGTGGAAAATGTATGAAGTGGAACTAGATGGAAATTCAGCTAGACTTGTGAGGCAATGGAATGGGAAATCAATGAAATCAAAAATAAATGAAGAAAGAAAAATAAGAGAATACGATTTTCCTACTTTATCCCCTTGCTTCTTCTCTTTTCCAAATAACCACCTACAAATGAAAATAATAAGAATCAATAAATAATGTCTTTTAGGGAATTAAAAATAATATTTAATAAAATATAAAAAAATGCAATAAATCCCAAAAATTCTCTAAAAATATTTCTTTGCCCTTTAGTTATAAATATTAAACAATTAAACCCAAATGATCTACTAAAAATCCAAGAAAACTGAGGTGAAAATATTTACATGTTACATGGATCTATGGCTTACATACGGGATCTCATCATCTGTTAGAAAGCTTTTCTGCATTTTAGGTCTCCCATGTTCTATACGTTTATTTTGTTTTCATGTGAAGTTCTTGAATATGAATTTTGTTACCCTACTGTCTTACAAAAGTAACTAGTGATGAGGACAAAATGAAAATTGGATGAGTTTAAATAATAGAAATACACCTTGATTTTTGCAAACAACAATTGATTAGTATAATTTGATTTGATTTGTGTTGTTTTGAGAAGAAATGGGATGATTGTAGACTTCTAAGTTGTGACATATTACTAATTATCTCTGAATCTTAGTTGTGACTTGTTGAACATGAGCATGTTTTTTAGAACTAGTGATACAACCTTAACATTTAATTTTAGCAACATATTTAGTCCATGCATTACACGATGTTACTAAAATGACCGTGATTCATTGCATTTCCTGAGTTTCCTTTGTCTTCCCCTGTTAATCTATTTGGCTTGTTCTTTAACTTTATGACACTTTGAGAATCATTAGCCTGGTCTTACTTGTAATGCTTGGATAAGATTCTAGGTGAAGTAGATGCTTCTGCAGGATTTCGCAGAAAATAAATGTCATAAAAATAAAGATATAATATAAAATTAGATAGAGTCCAACAAATCAGGAACCATTATCCAACAAGTAAAAAAACAAAAAAGTAGATAACTGCTGCACAACAAAATACTAATATATACCTTAACGTTGTCATGAAGCTCGAAGATTGACCATGGGAATCAGAAAACTCTACCAAGAGAGGTAATGAGCAGAACAATGGTACAAGGCTTTTTGTCCACCACAAAGTCACAAATTCTCCTGCCATCATTGTTTGACGATCCCAATCAAAGAATAAAACCGATCAATTAATGATTAAAGAATCACGTTAAGACCCAGAAAAATTAACAATAGCACAAGATTGAGAAATGTTTAAAAAATGGAACCTAGAACCAAAATTGGTGCTGTGGCCATCCGTGGAGGAGAACAATCAGATTTGAGATTGATTTTCAACAAGACAAACTTGAATGCTTATATCAACAAGAATCACAATTTATTAACTATTACATTTGAGAGCCGACAAACCTTAATATCTCCATTTGCTTTAAATTTCCGACGTGAAGATGCCACTCACCGAAATGCTGACTCACACACCAAAACAAAACTTACGGACATGGTCTCACTCTCATTGGTGGTCGCCAGGGAGACACCATCAAAGCAAATGCTTACCAAGGGTTTGGAGAAGCTCTCACTGTCTAAAGGGATGAGAGAATTTTCGGGGACTGAGGGAGAATTTGTTATGGATAATTTAATCTTTTTACATTAAAACATATTGACACTGCATGACACATGTCCTTCCCTAAATTCCAAGGCCTTGTAGGCAATAAATATTTAAATCAGGTCTTTTTGAGCAATCCCCCTATTCTTTACTCTTCTTTGGGGGAAAAAAGATATTTTCCATTCTCAAAATTATTAGAATTGTACTTATTTTATTTTATTTTATTCCATTCTATCTGATTTTAAATTATGGAGAGTGTGCGCGTCTTATTTTATTATTTTATTTCTTATAATATCTTATTTTGTTATTTTAGATACATAGGAGGGATGTATATGATGATGCAGTTAACACGACTTGCAAAATTAATAAAATATGCTAGTCATCAGACCAACTTGTTATCTCTTTATGCTACAAACAATTTTCAGATAACTACTTTTAATTACACTCGGCTCAAATATAACCCAATAATAATAGATATCAGATAACTGTATAAAAAATAAATTAAAGATGAATAAAAACATAACAATTAAAAAAAAACGAAAACGACATGGTGAGAACTATAAATAATAAATGTCAACTATTATAAAAGATATTTAAACAAATAATATAGTAATAAATTAAAAAAAAAATAAAAACAAACTTTAATTTAAAATATTAAGACATTAAATAAACATTTACTGAAACCTAGACAAAAAAAGGCATTGACAATGAGCCTAAGCAAAAATCAGTACCCAAAACTTTCCATCTATAAGCATGTAAGCATATTAACGTATCAGTTTATCCAACTAAAAACTTCTCAAATGTCACCAGCTAAGCACCAGAAACACAGTACATATCATGATCAAACATGCAAAGCAAGTTAAAGACGATAGCATAAAACATCAAGGGAAAACAGGTCAGCAGTGAGAAAGGTAAGGTATGTCTAGAATTAAAACATAAGATTTCATTATTTAAAAACACCATCCTAGGTAGTGGAATGAGGTTCCTGATAGCCATAAGATCAGACTTTGAGAATTTGACGGAAACAAGAAGTCAGACACTTCTATAGTGATAATATAACAGTTTTCCTCTATTTGGCCAGAGAAAATATAACAGCAAGTGGAAAAAAATATAAGCAAAAATAGAGCGTGAGAGAGATTTTTGTCACCGCTCGACAGGAACCAAGGGGGAAAAAAAGCAGCAGAGCAATTTAAATGAGAGCACACTGAAAATATGAATATGGAAACTTCTGTTGATTCATCAATATGACTTCAAACAAGAGATATTCAGGAACGGCACATTATGAAGAAATGAAGGGAGAATCACAGATCCAACAAAATATCAGTAACAAATGGTGTGCATGTCACTTTCTAGTAAAAGGAAAAAACAATCTAGATTTCTTATTTCGCCAACACATATAATTGCTTCAAACGCATTGTCTCTCGTAAGATGAAGTTGTTTCATTGTACTTGATAGCCTGATAACCTTCTATTTTTCTTTACTGTTTCTTTTAGGTACAGATGCTATTTTTCATTCTCAAAATCAATTTCACTGCACATTCTATTCTATTACGTTTCATTATATGCACCAGTCAGATATATATGACTAGAAACTATCCTCTCCCCTACATAATTAAATTCTCAATTTGTAAATATCAATGCACCTAGCACAAATATATTTGATGTACTCAATCAGCAAGAAGCATATCTACTCTTAAAGCCTTAGGCATTATGCTTTAACTAAATTTGTTAAAACTTGTGTAATATTACCATATAGTTTGGCTAGAATGGCATTCAAGCTAACATGTTTATGAGAGCAAGGGTCATTTTACAGTTTGGTAGGCTAAATTTAAGAGCCGCTGCTACACCTAGATCCCTTTAGTTTATCAAGCACTCTCTCAAGCTGGATAATTCTATTTTCAATATCCATTATTCTGCTGTCAACTATATTGATAGAGCCTTCTCTTTCAGTCCAAGATAGATTAGCCTTGTGATGAGCCTTACTTGATTCTTGGATCCCATTTGCATCTTTCTTAGCTTCTTCTTCTTCTTCTTGACCTCGCATTGAAGTTTCACTTTCAAGTATTGGAAGGGACTTCATCTCCAAGTCCATTTTTCTCATAATTTCATTATCAGTACTAGAAGAAAAACAACTGATTCCATCGTCTCCTTTTGCATCTGTCTTAGCTTTCTTTGGTCCTCTAACAACATTGATATTTTCAATCTTTGCCAACATTTCAACCTTCATTTCCATTAAATCATCAGTTTTATTTGCTACAACTGGCGATAAAAGAACAACATTTTGATCAGTTTCATCATTTCTAAAACTTCTATAACCATTATTTCTTAGTAGTCCTCCCCTGCAACATTTGGGAGAAAACCCAGGTGGAACATCAGCATCAGCATCCATCTTCTTTGTTGACCTTGAGCTCCGCTTCCCTTGCACAAGATTCCTAAATGTATCTTGATGATCTAACACTGATTTCTTCCACCACTCAACATAACGAGTGGTAACATCAGCCTCAAAAAACCGTGATGGTATGTATATGTTTTTATCCCTCATTGGTCTAATGTAATTGGACCAAGCAATTTCAGGAGTCTCACTGCTCCGAGCCACAAAGCCAGGAATGTCTTGATCCATCCCAAATTGCATGGCTACTCTGTGTGGGAGGTAATGTTCTATACAGTCAAGTCCAACTAGCTCAGAAACTCTCATGCATATAATAAAAGACTCTATTTCTTCTTCCAAAGTATGATCAAGCAGTATACACAACGAATTTTCAGGAAAAAAATTTTTACTCTTACCTCCGAATCTAGCATATGGACGCCATATAAATTCTTCCATTGCAGAGTCTAGAACTGACCTCACGTCAATTTTCAAAGCCTTAACTCTATGCCACCTGCTCATTACTGTGTCGCCAGCATTGATAAGCTTGGGCTTCGGCTGCAAAACATGAATTCTCTCCCATACCCAAATTTGAACCAAGTAAAATGGTGATTGAAGAACAAGTTCAAAGCACTTTTCATCACCGCCTACTAGACATTTTGTCAAGTCCAGAATGGCTTGTTTCAACAGACTCAAATCTTTGTATATGCTAGCCAGAACCGCAGGCGCTAAAGCTACAGCATTCCCTCTAGCAAGATGAACGGCAATTGGGAACACAAAACTCTTTATAAGTAAGGATCTCCCAGGAAATACAAACATGGAAAGCCAAGCAGCTAGAAATGCCTCATGCTCAACTTCCCTCCCACTGTTCATGAAAGTATTCATCCATTTATATGGGCAAGCCTTATTCCTATTGCTTTTAAAAATTTCCTTCCGGGCTGAAATCAATTTTCCTTCTACCTCTTTCAATTCCTTAGCCTCAAGAGGTCTAAAAAATGAGTCACCCAAAACAGGGTAACCTCCCAAAAAAATCATATCCTCCAAAGTGATTGTTGCTTCACCCCAAGGAAACACCAGTGTATTTGTCTTAGAACACCATCTCTCTGCAATCCCAAATGCCAAGTCTTCATCTTTCAACACGTGATATTTGCTGCCCATGATTGCTTCTTTAATACCCACTTTTTTCCACACTGATTCGAAGGTAGAATACAAGGAATCCACCCAATGAATCCATTTCCTGGGTGGGCATTGCCAGCCAGTGAACTTCACTGTGAGAGGCCACTTTTTTGGTTCAAATGTACGTGGCAAAGACATAGAAGATGAAAGAATATCAGAACGCGGTCTACCATAGGAGGTTAGAGAGGGTTTAAGAAAGTGAGCGGTTCTTAGGGTTGGCTTACTATCACCAACAGGGGAAACCATGAATTCCTCCCTCGATTCCATTACGGTTTCTAATGCTTTAGACATGAGGATATAGAAATAAGAACAAGGTGAACTGATCAAGCCTAGTGGTTGTTTCTCTAGAAATTATGAAGCTCACTGAAACTAAGACGACTCTGAATTGCTGAAAATGGAATTTAGGAAGCATCAAGGCAGATGAATCATGAAGTCAAGGGGTTGGCCAACAAGAGAACGTGAATGACGCTTCCCATCCTGCATAGAATGGTGGAAACTCAAGCCTCCTCCCTGACGCTGAAATAGAGCCTCCTGCAATTTTTTTTAAAAAGAAAAATAAAAATGCTAATTCATTCAAGCATTCACAGCACAATCCTGTAAGCATCCTCCAATGCTTCTTCAATTTTATTTAAAAAAGAAAGCAAGAAAGAAAGGAAAAGAAAAGTAATAGCTCGCAGATGCAGCAAAGTAAAATGGATTGTTACCAAAATAGAAGCTAAATGGCTAAATAGCTTATTGAACCTAAAATGCTTCTTCGTTCTTAGTCTGAACGAGATCGCCCTAACATCAACACTTTGCATCGCCAGACGAAAAGTCTTCCCTCTTCATTTGGATGGTCTTCTTCAGTTATTCCACCTCGCACCTGCTTTGCTTCAAAATGTGCATACCTATGCTTTTCTCAAAGACGCGATCGTCGCCGTTGGAGTGCAGAAAATATGAAGCTCCTCTGGTTGTTGACACTGAAACTGTTTCCTTTCCTTGTTGCCTATGGCTCTGAATTGCTGGAAATGGAAATTGTAACAGCGAAATGGCAGTGTTGGCTATGTCAGACGTGAAGCTTGCCTTTCTGCATAGGAGTGAAAACCCAGAAATAGCCTTGTCTTCTAGCAAATTTTACTATGTAAACAAGAACAGATTGAATGGTGATGCAGGGGTAGTTTTGTATTTGAGTCTCGTACAACCACGTCTTCGCCTTTACGACTGCCAGAGAGAACACGTTTTCTTCGTTTTGAAGGAAAGTACTGGGAATGGTCAGAATGGTGAAAATGGAAATTCCCAAAGCGAAATGTCGGACTAAGAAATTAAAAGGCTTATGTTTCTGATTCTGGCAAATTGTGCAATTAAAATTTAAAATCAGAACCTATAATGTGTAGAGCCGAGGGAGCAGTTTCGTAATTTTCGTGACAATAGGGGAGGCCAGTTTCTGCTCATTCAAAGGAGACAAATGAAAAATGAAATGCCAGTTTTGTCCTAGTTAGCAGTTGAAATTCACAAATGGTATTCATGGAAAATCCCACCAGTCAACAAGGTTCCCTATGACATTTAACATCATGAAGGGTTCAAATTAATGTGAAATCTTAATGAAGGCCAACTTATCGATTACCTTTATCAACTTGGGATGACTGGTGAACATTACATGAATACTCCCTCTTGCCATATGCTCTCCTTTGTTAATGATGTTTTATACTAATAATAATAATAATAATTTATCATTCAAAATTGTTTATCTTGCTCGTTACTTCGTATGTCATTTGGCAAGCATTTGTTCTTTCCAAATTTCCCCACATGAATGTTGGCTGTGCGCGCCATTTTTGGGGAGATTTGAATGTGGGTCCCCTAATGTTGCAAGTGTTGTGTCCTTATGTGTTTCTAGGGTGTCTTGTGTGCATTTTCATTGTGTTTTCTCATCAATCTTTGGTGGTCATTGTCCTATCATTGTTCGTCCTACACGTTTTTGTTTCCTTTGATGTCTAGCTATTATGGAGTTGTAGTTGTGAGTGTTCACAAAAGCCATTGATGATTGCAGTTCTCCTAGGTATTGTGGCATTTAATTCTCTTATTTCAACATTGCATCCATTAATAGTGTCCCTTGGTTCTTGTGTTTGTTGTTGCATCATTTTGACAAGTGTGGTGTCAATGTTAGGTCTTTGTGTAACATCCAGAAAAATTTAATCTTGAATTATTAACTTAATGAGTGTGATTAGTGAGTTAATGAGGTGTGTGGCTAGAGGGGCCTAATTTGGTGTAATTGTTGTGATTTCAATCCTAGAAGTGGTTTGGATCAATGGTGGACCACCCGAGCAAGGAAAGAGGAAGAAAAAATGAAGGTTTGTCCTCTTTGCCATATGCCACGGCGCGTGGTCAATTCGCCACGACTCACAAGGGCAGATTTGAATGCAACGAGCCTCTCTGTGCCATGTACCACGACGAGGGGCAGCCACAGTGCATAGCCAAAAATATGATAAATCAGTTCGCATTCTGCATGAAAACCAAAGAGAAGGAGAAGAGAAAACCTAAGGGCTCAACTTTGGTTTTGCCAGGGCACGCATATTAGGACTTTGGTGGATAGATTGAAGATCCCAAACACCTAAGATACATTTATTATGCCTTCTTTTTCCTTTCTCTCTCTCATTTAAGATGATTTATGATAGGGTTTGAATTGGGAGATTGACTTTTGGTCCATAGGATTATGGGTCTATTTCCATTGATTAAAATGAGTATAATGGGAGTTATTTAAGGTATTGAGACACCACATTGATGATTATGGAAGTGGTTAGCTCATGAGAGCATTTAATATCCGAAAATTCAATATAAATGTGGTTGTTGGGAGAGGTTTATGTACATTAATGATGGGTTGAAGTGTTATTAATGATAATGTGTATTAATGGAACCTAAAGAGCCCATTGGGTATGAATGGATAACAATTTAAGGATTGATAGAATAGAATGTGTAGAGATATGTGTTGGTAAATCCTCAAGATTGAGACAATGATGGTATCTTTGTGTTATGGATGTAGGGAGGTTCGATTTTGGCATCATTCAAACTTAAGAGAAGCTTTAGAAGTGTTTTATGTGAGAGGTAAACCTTTAATTTCTCAAAGGTTTGAGGTAACTGGGGTAAAACCTAATTCTTATAATTGAATGTTAATTGTGTTTGTGAAATGTGGTTGATGATTTAAACTAATGATGCATATAGGCAACGTGTTTGACTTGTGAAATGGTTTTGGAAAGGAAAACCTCGATTTTGCCACCCCTTGTGATTTGTGAACTTGATTATAGTTTGTTATTGTGGGTGGAGAATTGTAATGTGACATGTGTTGATTATGTAGAGTAACTGAATATGAATATGTGAGATTATTTGTCATGAATTAATTCTTGAAATGCATATTATGTGAGAAATGTTTATATCATGATCAATTGTGGGAGTTCACTTAAGGAGAGGAGTATATTGGTTTAAAACCACATGGTATTGGTAGTGACCATTGAAATTAAGAACTTACCTTAACACCGACTATTAGAATTGGGGGGTGCCATTGTCTCATGGTTGATTCGGGACTATCCTACCTGTTCTACGAGAGACTTAAACCTAACTAGTCTCCACCGGTTCATGAAGAGGCTAGATTAGGAGTATGACACACTATGGTTGTTAGTATTAGGGGAAATCAAATTACATAAGTGAGTGAGTTCATCCTAGCCCAATAGCTCCTTACAAGTAGAAGGCTGAGTTAGTTCGTGAATGACATAGCCATGTGATGGCCACCAGTTTCGTGTCGAGGGTAACATGAGGATATAAGGTTGGCATATGATCATGTATATAAGTCTGACCACATAGTTGTTAGTATTGTGGTTCGGCATGTGTTAGGGGCGAATGGTTGGTAGTATTGTGACCCCATATTGTGCATTGTGATTTAAAAATAGATAAATGTGTTTTCATGCCTAGTCACATGGTTGTTAGTTTTGTAAGCTGTGGCCAAGTTTTCATGTGTTATTTGTGTGTTTGCTTGTTTGCATCTATTTACAATTGATATGCAACTATATAGGTTAGGTGAAACTTGGTTATTGAGTAGTTGTACTCACATCTCAATTCTTAATATTTGAGGGCTTAGCTCATTAGATCAAAGTCAGGGAAAACACACAAGGGCTTAGGATTGTGGAGTAATCCTCTGTATGCCTCTTTTCCTTGTTTTCATGTGTATATGTTAATGCAATTGCCAACTAAGGTCACTTGACATTATTTTTGCACTACTTGCATTAATTTGTGTGTAACTTGTGTATTTTGTGCCCTGAGTTAGTGAGCTTTAGTTGTAAACTCGTGGATAAGGCCAAAATATTTGTGCAAGTAGGAACATGTGTAGTTTGAAAGATTTAGAATGAAAATGATGATTTTGTGCAACATTTTCTTCCCCTTTGTATTTTGTGAAAAACAAGGTCGAGTGGTGATTTTATGATGCATGTGTTTTTGGTTGTGTGTGGTGCATTGCATGAGTCTGCTAGAGTCCATTGAGTGCGGTCAAATAGTTAGTGTAGGCTATTGGCACGTGAGGTTGAGTTAGAACACCCTGTTTATGAAATTTTATGAAAAAAGTAGTAACTATGGGTTTTGATGTCCAACTTTTTATAGAAAAAGAGTTTGAGAGTAAAACCGGTGCCATTAGCTAAAATTAGGAAAAAACTCTGTATAGATACTGAAATCACCTCAATCGGACGTCATACAGAGATTTGAGATGCATCAAAAGTTCACTCCTTGTGTTGTCAAATGACAGCACTAATGGTGTCAAATTCATGCAATGCGCCACGGCACATGGTATGTTACGTTATGACGCATAGCATAAAGAAGGTTGAGTCGTGGTGCATGTGTCGTATGACATGGCGCACGTGTCCTTTTCTGCACAAAATTCATTTTTAAGTTTTAAAACTCATTATTTAGAGTCCTGTTTGATTTATGAGCTTCCACACTATTTTCAAACTTTGATTTAAGCTTAATAAGCATTATTTAAAATTTGAAATATTGAATTTGGGATTTCATTATAAATGATTTGAGAAAATTTTCTTTATAAAATTTAAGAACTTTAGTAATTCTTTAAGGGTTAGTCCCTTGATTACCTTAATATTAGAGTTAATTGTGGTTTAGTAAGAGAGACATTACATTTTGGGTTAGTGAACTAGCATGGTTGTATTGTTAATGATTGTTTTGTTTCAATTGTTAAAGGTGTTTTTTGATATTTGATTGTTTCTCCTTGTTATATGTACTCAATTATTTTCTTTTCTTGTCATTTGTTTCTTATAGGTGCTCCCTTCGAGTGTGAAGCTTATCAACATCATGGTGGGTAGGATTTTCAGTCATTGTCATTGTGAAGCAGTAGGTTCCCTTTATAACTCTTACTGATCTACAATTAACTCCCATCATCATAAGTAATCAAGGAATCAACCCGAAATAATTACCAAATTTGTAAAACAAAGTAGGGTTCCATGTTTTTTAGGTTTAAAAATATCTTAATACCGTTATCAATTCAAAAATCAAAGTTTAAGATGTATGTTATAACTCCTAAATTTTTAATCCTGCATTAATGATTGATTAGGGAACGAGTTAGTGATTTAATATGGGATTAGGGTTCTGGATAGTGAGAGGTTGTATTGACTTTTTAGGATGTTAGATGAATAGATAAGAGTAGAAAAGTAGAATACCAAAGCAGAGTGTGTGAGCATAGTGAGGAATTCCCTCATTGTGCCATGTGCCATGGTATAAGGTAGATGCACCGTGGTGTATAGTGTAGAACTTTGATAAGTTAGGATGTGTCCGGCTTGTGAAATAGAAGGGAAAAAAAGGGAAGAGGGTTTGGCATAGAAGAAGAGTCCAAGTTGTTCCAAGGCTTTGATTTTTAGGAGCTAGAGCAACATTTCTAACTTGTTACTTATTGGATAAGTCTCATATTACCTTAACCTTCAATTCTACCTTATCTTCTCTTAGTTTTAACTAATAAGAAATTGAATTCTGGGAGTTTTAAGGAGTTGATTTTATAACCCCTTCTTATATCTACTCACTATAAGAGAAGATTATAGTGTTACCACATC